ATATTTAATTCTTTGTTTGGATTTATTAAAACGATTATATCTTGAATCGCAAGTGTGAATGAAAAATTGAAGAGAATTAAGTAAAAAAAAATATAAAATTTTAAATTAAATATATCACAAATAATAATAATAATATTAATAGAAAATATTAATAGAATGTTACAAATATCTAAAAATTTATCGAGCATCTGTTATTATCGGAAAATACGTATAAGATATTTGTTTCCAACGAAAATATGCCGAAAGATAGATATATCAATCATCTGTTTAGGAATATTAAATATTTTTGTAGATATTTTTATTGTGCATTAAAAAAAATTATTTAATTGACTAAATTAATTTAGTCAGTCGAACAATTTTTTTTTTAGTGTAATATGAATTAAATTACTGTTATTCATATTATTTATATTATCATATTGATTGTAGGTTTTAATCGGCCAGACAATGCCATCGAAGAAACAACGGAAGAAGTGGCGATGGCGACACATTTTGGTGAGTATTTTTATTTATTTATTTATTTATTTATTATCAATCAATTTATTACGAATCATAAAAATCAAATATTTATTCATTTTTTAAAATATATAAATTTTAAAACAGTTATATATTTTATACATAAAAATTATATTTTTAAGACAATGTTTTTTTAAGTGGTAAAAAAAAGTTATTCAGCGTCCGTTCCATTTTGTCCTTCTTTTACGAGATTAATTTACGACAGCTTAACATTCGATGGAAGTCGTAGAAGTATATCAGTCGCGGAATGTTCGCCATTATCCACGGTACGACTGAAACTTGGGGAGCAAAGGGGCACATTCGTATGTTAGGGGAGCATTGCAGCCCGTTGCTATTGGCTGAGCAAACGCTTTTACAAGCTGCAGCGAAGCATTTGATCCCCCAGTAGCAACCCTCCCGAGACTTATCTCGCATTGGCGCTTCAGCCATAATAGCGGCCCCCGGTTCTACCTAATAATATGTTTTATAGAGGCCGTCGTCCAGTATCTTTCGCCAACGAACGAGCTCTTAACCGTAGATACGAAACACCCGTATAACTTAGAACAAAATTGTCTTTACAGAAATGTACAGAATGAAAAAATATAAAAGTATATATTTAAATAATTGGACATTAACTTTATGGAAAAACTGAGCAAAAAGTCTTAGTGAACACAGGTACAAAAATGCAACCGTTTCTAAGATATAAACAACTTTGTATGCTTGTCTCATAACTAATTTATTGTTTTTTCATGTTGCGTGCAATATGAAAAGAGAGAAATCGAGATAAATAACACACTGATAGTTTATTTAAAAGAATTACGGATCCAAGATGATCTCTCATAATACTTATTCAATCATAATGGTTAGTTGATATAAACTTACTGATTTTCGGTGAAATTTTTTATTATAAAGTGTGTATGGAAATTGAATCAGAAGATTCAGAACGCGATTTGTAAACACTAAGATAAATCTTCACGTTGCATACGACTCATAGAAGCTGATCAGTTGTGATACTAACATACAAAATCGTTTATATCTTAGAAACGGTTGAACTTTCGACTTGTGTTCATTAATATTCATAGTGAAGTTAGCACGACATTCTATTAATATGATAAAAATAATAACAGTTCTAGTAGTATTTTTTTTCACAGTTCTACAGTTCCTTATAAAAATAAAAAATAGTTCGACATTTTTTATATTAAAAAATCAAAGTTGGAAATATAACGTGTTAATTTCGCAAATTTAGCACAATATTTTTCCTCTAAAATACAAGAAAAAGATAAATATTGAGATTGACAAGAAAATAAGTAGTTGCGTTTTTTTAAAAGGCATCTATCAGTAAAAATCGCAATTACTTTCTCATCGACCAATATAAATATATCTTGATAGAGTAAAGTTTCAGCTTTAAGAATCTCTTTTTTAAATTGCAATACGACAATTTTTAACGGAGTTATGAGCAATTAAAGTCAAAATGATCCTTTTATATTTAATCCGCTATAACTCAGTAACCAAAAATCATAGGAATATTTAAAAAAAAAACCGATTTTGTAGGGAAAATATCTTTCACGATAGATAATCGAAAATTTTCTCAAATTTTCTCTTTGTTTTGGGCACGTTACAAATCCAAAATGAGAAGAAAATTTTCTGTCTTTTTCAGCTCGTAGTTTTTGATATGTAAAAATTATCAAACTCATATAAACTTAAAAAATATGTAAGCTTTTAAAAGAGATTTCAAGCTTTAAAACTTTTTTAAATTTCATTCATTATTGACGAAGATATTGTATATACAACTTTGAGCTAAAAAAAACGCAATTATTTCTTTACTAATTCAATATTTCTGCTTTTAATTATAGACCACATTAGTACTCGGATTCTATCAATATATGTAATTTAAAAACAAAAGATTCTCTCTAATAATTACCCATTTAAATAAAAAGTATTAAAAAAATCATTCAACATTTATGTGATAGATAGTACATTGTATTGACAAAAAAAGTTTGTGTTCATAATCAGATTTTATATTTAAGAGTTCCTTAAATTTATGTTCAAATGCTCCAATTATTTTATTGGTTACTGAACATCTAA